ACTCTGTCTCAAAAAAAAAAAAAAAGTTTAAAAAATTTATACATTTTTATCTAGTTTTAAAATTTGAAAGCAAGCAAAATGCAATTCACAGACAAATTTTAAAGTACCTACTCTGTACGTGGCAAAGTACTAGCTATTGGGAATACAAAGATGAAAAACTAGGACTTTTATCTCCTAGGGACTCATGTTTTTTTGAGAAGACACATACTCAAGTAACATGATGGTGGACAGACTGTCTTAAGAATATAGGGCTTGAAATCACCCCTAAGGTTGATGCAATGCTTTTGTTTCTGGTTTTGTCTTTGTTAGGATATCTTAATTATGTTCTTTTTCTTTCTTTCTTTCTTTTTTTTTTTAATAGCATCTGACAGATACATCTCATGGTGTAAGAAATAAGTGCCTGCAGTTACTTGGCAATCTTGGTTCTTTGGAGAAAAGCATCACAAAAGATGCCGAAGGCCTAGCTACCAGAGATGTCCAGAAGATTATAGGGGATTACTTCAGTGACCAAGACCCACGTGTCAGAACAGCAGCTATAAAAGCCATGGTAAACATGATTATGGAAACTAGTTGGGGCTAGTGTTCATTTTTGTTTTTTAAGTTTATAGCTAGTGCTGCCTTGGATACACTCTGAATTCAGCATATACTTCCAGGAAGGTATTGGTGGTGGCCTCACAGAACTCAGTGACAAACATTCCTATATACAAGTGTGCTTTTTTTTTGGCTTTCTTTGGTAGCTTTCATGTGTATTTATGAAACATGGAAAGTATAACATGAACCTGTTATAATTCCTTTGGTAGGGAGGGCTATGACTTTGATATTATAATAGGGGGAGGTGGTATTAATCATTTTTTCATAAGCCTTCATATCATTATTTCATGTTTTTCTAGTAAATTCTTGGGGCAGTGCATTGGTTAGATTTATGAAATGCTTGAATGCTTCTATTGAAAAGCAACCAGGTTTCTTATTTATGTAGCACTGATTTTGGCTAAATGGAACTACGTTAGCCTGATATAATAGAGGAAAATATATGAGATTGTGGTGAGACATTGGAAATATTGCTGTTTTTCTCCCAAGTAAACTATATATTTATTATCTAGTTGCAGCTCCATGAAAGAGGATTGAAATTACACCAAACAATTTATAATCAGGTACCTTAAATGATTACTGTCCGGAAGGGGAGGAGGTATCATGAAGCTGGGAGGGTGGCACACTGGTTCTCTTTGAAAACATAAGGACTTCGCTGGTTAATAATGGCAGTGTTGATTGGGATGAATGTGAAATCATATTCAAAACATACTTTTCAGGAAGAGAATGGAGGTTAGATAATTAAATAGCATGAGTACCTGTGAAAAGCACATTTAGGAGGATTTACAAAGGTCAGTATGAGTATGAGAGTACCTGAAGAAAAGTGTAGTATTTAGAATAAGGAACATGTTAGTCTTGCTCATCTCTGGTTGGTTGGACCATACATGAAGTTATTTCTGGGCATCACACTTGACAAACTGGAGTGTGTCTGGAGAAGGGTGACCAAGACCATGGGATTATATAAAAAGATGTCACATGAATGTAGTATTAGTGGTAAAGAAAGGCATAATGAAGTTGTGGAAAAACTGATCGATGGCCTAATCAAAAGGCCTTACAAGGTTATATTTCTCTTGGAGAATAATTGACTGAATCTGGTAATCGGCAATCTAAATCCATGTTCAGAGATTAGGTTTTGTTAGTCTGCCAAGAGTGGCTTTATCTCTCACGGGAAAAAGATAATTAGCCAAGCCCCTATCACGGATGCGTAAACCAGGTTTATTCCTCTGCTGAAGCAGAATGGGTCCAGAATGCTTGTGGTGCGACCATTGCCTTCTTTTCCTATAGGAAAACTATTTGGGAAGCCAAATAATTAAAGGAAATTTGGATAGTAAGGACTCAGAGGAAGGAAAGTTAGTTGGCTGATTCAGATGTTTGGGTGGTATAAGACTCTATTAGTAATCTAGGCAAGCAGTAATGAGAGCCTCAAGGGAGTAAGGATAGATTGATAGTGTAGGATTTAAGATATAAGGTAGAATTTGGTTCCTTAATGAGTTCAGGGTTGAGTATAAAAGTTTGATGATGAAATTCTCTTCATCCATGAAGAGAATTCCAGCCATAAGTAGTTATGAAGGTCTGGAGCTCAGAAGAAATCAGAGCTAAAGGTAGGTGTTTGGAGCCATCAGTATTTAGGGAGTGTGGGGCTACCGAGAAAGAGTGAGTAGATTGAAACAGAGGCCAATGATTTCAGACCAAAGTAAACAGAAGTGTGTGCTTTGGTTTTTACAGGTGGAGGAAAAACCTGTATTTGGTATTTGAGCCTGTGGGCTCCCAGCATGCTTTGATGGGTTTGATGCTCTTCTAGATGTTTTTATGCTGTCAGTCTGTGGTTCTCCTTTGAGACATGGGGTAGGCACAGTCAGAATACAGTCGGAGCAGCTAACAGAGACCAAGATTCATTGTTGGGCAAAGATTCAAGAAGTTAAAACCATATGAAAGTATTTTACTGGGCATCCTTAACCAACCACCCTATCTTCACTTTGAAAATAGTTTAAACATTACCTGAGAGGGCACAGAACTAATAGACCTTTGTAATTCTTTGCAGGCCTGTAAATTGCTCTCTGATGACTATGAACAAGTACGCAGTGCTGCAGTCCAGCTTATCTGGGTTGTCAGTCAGCTCTATCCTGAAAGGTCAGTGTGGGTGTAAGCTGACTTTTGTTGATTGTGAAGCCATTTTCCTCTCCTCTCATCATTGCAAAAAGCCCACTTCTAGAAAAGAAATGTTAGTTAGATTTTTGAAAGGCAATGGGGAGTAAGGGAAAAGCACAAGCCCTGAAAATCAAATTGCCTAGTCCTCATTTTTCATCTCTTATAGGATCTTTCTGCACAACCTTGGAAAGATACTTCACTTCTTTGGTCCTAACCTTCTCATCCATAAGTGAAGAAATTGGAATGTCTGTCTTTTTTTTTTTTTTTTGGGATGGAGTTTCGCTCTTGTTACCTATGTTGGATTGCAATGGCGCGATTTTGGCTCACCGCAACCTCCGTCTCCTGGGTTCAGGCAATTCTTCTGCCTCAGCCTCCTGAGTAGCTGGGATTACAGGCACACGCCACCGTGCCCGGCTAATTTTTTGTATTTTTAGTAGAGATGTGGTTTCACCATGTTGACCAGGATGGTCTCGATCTCTTGACCTCGTGATCCACCCGCCTCGGCCTCCCAAAGTTCTGGGATTACAGGCATGAGCCACTGTGCCTGGCCCGGAATGTCTTTCTTAAATGCTTTTCATTACTTAAAAAAAAAAATCTTTAAAATTGTTTGAGACCCATCTTAGTTTGGTTTGCACCAAATGCCAGATAAAGATACCAGATGAGTTTGAGGATAATGATCTCTTATGTACTGTTTTCCAGATTAAAGATATTTTCATGCCAGGCACAGTGACTCACGCCTGTAATCCCATCACTTTGGGAGGCTGAGGCTGGTGGATCACTAGTACGTGTGTTCGAGACCAGCCTGGCCGACACAGTGAAACCCGTCTCTACTAAAAATACAAAAATTAGCCAGGCATGGTGGCACATGCCTGTAATCCCAGCTACTCAGGAGGCTGAGGCAGGAGAATTGTTTGAACCTGGGAGGGGAGGTTGTAGTGAGCCGAAATTATGCCACTGTACTCCAGCCTGAGCGACAGAGCCAGACTTCGTCTCAAAAAAACCAAAACCAAAACAAAAAATATTTTCAAAGCAAGTAAATTATCAGTTTTCATGGTGATTCTTTGAGGAGGATAAGCAATATTCTATTTTATATTCTATAAAATTTAATATTTATAAACAGTTGTATCATATTTATTTATAAATATTTATATAATGTTTTGTTTTTCCTTGTATAGGAAAAAGAGGTGTTTTTTTCCTCTTTGTTAAGCTGCCAAAATTTGAAAACCAGAATGAATTAATAAACCTGTAGGAGTACGCTCCATTTGTGGTGTTTTAGGACTTAGATACATACAGAGAAAAAGGCTAACTGGAAATTGTCTCTTCTTTTAGGACTGGATTGATGAGGAAGTTTTATATTTATTTATTTTGAGATTTACTGTATTTACAGGAGTTCAGAATGGGTGCGGTGGCACATACCTGTAATCCCAGCACTTTGGGAGGCTGAGGCGGGCAGATGACCTGAGGTCAGGAGTTTGAGACCAGCCTGGCCAACATGGTGAAACCCCATGTCTACTAAAAACACAAAAATTAGCTGAGTGTTGTGGCACACACCTCTAATCCCAATTAGTAGGGAAGCTGAGGCAAGAGAATTGCTTGAACCTGGGAGGTGGAAATTGCAGTGAGCCAAGATTGCACCACTGTACTCCAGCCTGGGTGACAGAGCAAAACATACATTCTCTCTCTCTCTCAAAAATAAAAGAAGTTTAGTCATAGGAGATAATAAACTTAAAGATATAAAATATTCCTTGGTAGCTAGTTTTTGATAACTTTATAAGTCTTTGAACCTTTGATGGGTTAAGCACTTTTTTTTTTAAGGCAGGGTCTTGCTCTGAGGCCCAGGCTATAGTGCAGTGATGTGATCTCAGCTTAATGTAACCTCTACCTCCTGGGTTCAAGCAATTCTCATGCCTCAGTCTCCCAAGTACCTGGGATTACAGGCATATACCACCATACCCGGCTCAGTTTTTATATTTTTAGTAGAGATAAAGTTTTACCATGTTGACAAAGCTGGTCTCAAACTCCTGGCTTCAGATAATCTGCCTGCCTCAGCCCCCCAAAGTGCTGGGATTACAGGCATGAGCCACCACGCCTGGCTGAACCTTTGGTGGCTTACACACTTTTATTCAATACATCGAAAATTTGCAGCTCGGTACAGTGACTCGTCCTTGTAATCTTAGCACTTTGGGAGGCTGAGGCGGACGGATTGCTTGAGCTCAGGAGTTTGAGATCAGCCTGAGCAACATGATGAACCGTCTTTACTAACAATATAAAAAATTAGCTGGGTGTGGTGGCATGCTCTTGTAGTCCCAGCTACTCAGAAGAGTGAACTGGGGGGATCACCTGAGCCCAGGAAGTTGAGGCTGCAGTGAGCAGTGATCATGCCACTGCACTCCAGCCTGGGTGATGGAAGTGAGATCTTGTCTCAAAAAAAAAAGGATAATTTGTAATGCAACTGAAACTGTTGGTTTGTACTCCCAGAGTGATTTGTTTATTCTGAAATGTATTTAATCATTCTAAGATTTGAACTATTCTGTTATCACCTTCATGTGTGTCAGTCTTCATTGACTGTTCCATTTATTGAGCCTACAGCCTTACTTATGTATTTATTTGTTTATTATTATTGTTATTATTTTTGAGATGGAGTCTATCTCTGTCGCCCAGGTTGGAGTGCAGTGGCACAATCTCGGATCACTGCAACCTCCGCCTCCCGGGTTCAAGCGATCTCTTGCCTCTGCCTCAGCCTCCCGAGTAGCTGGGATTACAGGCATGTGTCACCATACCCAGCTAATTTTTGTATTTTTAGTGGAGCCGGGGTTTCACCATGTTGGCAAGGTTGGTCTCGAACTCCTGACCTCAAGTGATCTGCCTGCCTCTGCCTCCCAAAGTGCTGGGATTACAGGTGTGAGCCACCGTGCTCAGACTGTATTTATTTTTTGATACAGGGTCTTGCTCTGTCACTCTGGCTGGAGTGCAGTGGCGTGATCTCAGCTCACTGCAGCCTTCACCTCCAGAACTAAAGTGATCCTCCCATCTTAGCTTCCCAGATAGCTGGGTCTATTGGCACATGCCACCATGCCTGGCTAATTTTTGTATTTTTTTGTAGAGATGAAGCTTTGCCATGTTGCTTATACTGGTCTCAAACTCTTGGGCTCAAGCAGTCTACCTACCTGGGCCTCCCAAAGTGCTAGGATTATAGGTGTGAGCCACTGTGCCTGCCCTGAGACTGCAGCCTTAGGCTCGTGTTTTGTTCTAAGTGATTCTGTTTCTTTTCTTTTAATTTAGCATTGTCCCAATCCCTTCTTCTAATGAAGAAATTCGCTTAGTTGATGATGCGTTTGGAAAAATTTGTCACATGGTCAGTGATGGTTCTTGGGTGGTTCGTGTTCAGGCGGCAAAACTATTGGTAAGTTACATTTTTTATGTATGTATATATGTACATATGTATATATTTTCTTTTTTTTTTTCTTCTCACATGGTTAAAGTATGTATGTATTTTCTTTTCTGTAGAAATGGGACCTGTGTGGCCCAGGTTGGTCTCAAACTCCTGGCCTCAAGCAATCCTCCTGCCTCAGCCTCCCAAAAGCCTGGGATTATAGCCCAGGCATGGTGGCTTACATCTGTAATCCCAACACTTTGGGAGGCCAAGGCAGGCAGATCACAAGGTCAGGAGATTGAGACCATCCTGGCCAACATGGTGAAACCCCGTTTTTACTAAAAATACAAAAATTAGCTGGGCGTGGTGGCGCGTGCCTGTAATCCCAGCCACTCAGGAGGCTGAGACAGGATAATCGCTTGAAACTGGGAGGTGGAGGTTTCAGTGAGCCGAGATCACGCCACTGCACTCAAGCCTGGCGACAAGAGTGAGACTCCGTCCCCCAAAAAAAAGACTGGGATTATAGATGTGACCCACTATACACGGCCAATAATACATTTTTTTAAATGAACACATTGCTTGTTAAGTTTTTACAAATATTTTGAGAAACTACAGATGAGGTAGTGTGACCTGAATTTTAATCCCCAGAATTTCTTTTTCTTAAGACAAGGCCTTACTCTGTTGTTCAGGCAGGAGTGCAGTGGCGCAATCACGACTCACTGCAGCGTTGACCTGCCCGGCTCAAGTGATCCTTCCACCTCAGCCTCCTGAGTAGTCTGCCCAAGACTGGTCTTTCCAAGAGTAAATGCAGATATTCCTAGTTAGTGGCAGTTTTTGGTATGATGTATTTACCACCTAGTTTCGTAGACTTATGTTATTTATACGAATTGGCAGTTTTTCCTCTTAAAGCAGGTTTGATAATTATTAAATATCTTGTATCTAAATTTTGTTTCCATTTAATAAGGCTCTCTAATGAAGTGGTTTTCTCAGTGTTAAGTAAGGTTTTCACAGCATTAACTACCTAAATTTAGGTTGTTAAGTAGTGCTAGTAGTACAGCTGGAGAGATTCCGTTTTAATCTAACATATTTGTCTTGGTTAAAGTATACCACAATGTAGCTGTTTTTCTGATGGATGAGGCGTACTTTATGATGAACTAACTCATTATCTTTTTCATCTAAATCTGTTTCTCTTTGTTTTCATAAATTATACTGTCATCTGCTAGGTTTTGAACCAGAGGAATTTGGGCATGTTTTTTCTGTCTCACATCGATTGAATCACCAACTCATATCAGTTCTTCCTTCTTGACGTCCCCTAAATTCATCCCTTCTCCATTTCCACTGGGCCTGCAGTAATAGAGATCTCACCATTTTTCAAGTGGATTACTATGCTGTAGGGCTCTTTGTGTTTGTGAACTTAAAATGGAAAGCCTCACCTATTCTTAGGTGACGTTGAAAATTTATTTCAAGTAATTATATTTAATTTTTTGAGGCACAAATTTGTATCGTACTCCCTCTGTGCTGCTGTATTGGCAGAGTGCTCAGCTAAGGGCACTGGAGGAGGGTATTGGGAATTATGAATGAAGCAACTTACTGCGAAGTCATGAAAACTTTTATTCTAGTGGGAAAAAGCCAAAGCTAATACTGGTGGTAAAACTAGAGAGAGATTCAGGAGATCTTAAACATTTATAGTTCTTATTTATAAAATTGTTGTTTGGATTTAAAAAATTGATGTTAGGTGCGAACTTGATTACTAGCTCTGCGTGATATGGCAGAAGCGAAGGGAACCAGGTTTGCGAAAGTAACTATGGAGATAGAAATGTGTTAGCTTCAGACACTACTGAGGTGGCCCTTTCTATCTTAGTACATTCTAAGTACTGGTTACTGCATTTTTCATTGGCTAACAAAAAGTTACTTTTTATTGATCTTTGATGTTTTGATCTTTAAATGGAATAGAAAGAAATAATATTTAATGAACATGTAAGGGTAAAGTGATGTGATGGCCCGAAAATACAATGTGGAATAATTAAATCAATGTAGTTAACGTATTCACCTGAAATACTTAACACTTTGTGGCAAGAACATTTGAAATTTATTTTCTTGGCAGTTGTGAAATATACCATACTCTGTATTCACCATACTGTGCATTAGAAGTAAAAAAACATGTTCCTCTTGTTGGAGATTTTATACTTTTTGACTCTCATCTGCCCATTCTTTGAACCCACCACCCCCACCAGCCTCTGTAACCGTCATTCTACTCTGTGCTTTTATGAATTCCATTGTTTTAGATTTTACCTACAAGTGAGAACATGCAGGATCTGTCTTTTTGTGCCTGGCTTATTTCACTGAGCACAATGTTCTCCACTTCCATTCATGTTGCAAATGATAGAATTTCCATCTTTTTTAAAGGCTGGGTAATACTCCATTATATATATGTATACCACATTTCCTTTATCCATTTATCTGTTGCTGTTAATATATAGTGCTGCAATGAACATGGGAGTGCGGATCTCTTGGACAAACTTTTGGGCAATTACCTAGAAGTGGGATTGCAGGATTTAACATGTCTTCTATTTGACTTTTGGCCCTGTAGTAATAGGACATCACAGAAGTTGGGGTTTGGGAAAGTTAGCCTAAGATCATACATAAGTAAATGTATTCAAGCCTGGATTTTTTAACCTCTATCTGATTGTGAGGTCTTAAATATTCTCTATTAAAACTAAATTTTATTAAAATAAATTTTATTAAATTTTAATTTTAATAAATAATTTTAATAAATATTTAATAAATAATTTAATAAATAATAATTTTTATTAAAATTTAATAACATTTTAATTGAAATTAAATATTCTCTTCAGTTATGATTTTAAAAATATATAAAAAATGGATGTTAGATATGACATTGGCTCAGATCCATGTAACAAAAGAAAAAGTGGTTTTGAAACTGCTTTAGTCAAAATAGTATAGCAGTTCTTCGTGGAATCATAGGAAAGGTGAGTAGGGACATTCCCCAAGAACACATAATTTTCTTTCTTTTTTTTTTTTTTTTATAAATAAAATTGTCCTTTAATTTTAAATTCTTAAAGTTATGTTAAATTTTTTTTTTTAATTTATTTTATTGCATTTT